TTGAAAATGGGGATTCCTTGAAATGGATTTTGAGAAATTCATTTATAAACCCTACAGTTTGGTAATTCTTATGAGTTAAGCCCTGGATTACCATAAATTAGAGTTAAGTGTGATTTAACCTTAGGGAGCTTTACAATTTGGTATCATTTTCTCAAGTTTTGAGAACTGGACCGTGGATTTATGAACTAAGTGAGAATTTGTTTAATGAATGGTGCATTTACATATAGAAAGTTGGCAATTGAAATTATACACATGTCTTCCCCTTTGAGTGAGTGTTAACTATTTTCCTTTTGTAGGATAACTTCCATCCTTAGGAGGGGAGAATAGTGCAAACAAGAAATATTGTCAGTAATATTCTAGCGAATGTAATAAGACAAGTGCGAGAAGTCTTGATACAAGAGGAGAACATTGTCCCTAGTGAGCATGTTGAGATGGGACAAGACTCAGGTCAAGCTAGAGAGCAACCGAGACCTATAACGGGTAATGAGAATATACTGTTCGAGTTGAGAAGCATGATGGAAAGAATTGAACAGAGAATATATGAGCATGATGAGATTCTAAAGAAAAGATCGAAAGAGTCAAGCAAGACTGTAGAAAGAGTTGGCGGTCATAGTGGAGAAAGACTTAAGAGGGGAGAAGAAGAGGATTATGAAGAGAGTGGATTGAGGAGGCTTGAACTAGTGAGGCCCTAGAGAGCAAGAGAGCTCTATTGGTTTAGCCTTAAAGAAGTTCATAAGGTTGAATCCTCTATCATTTGAGGGTTTCATGAAGAATAGAACGTTGAGAGGTGGATAGATCGGTTGGAGATGATCTTTTCCATTATGACTTGTACATTTGAGTAGCGAGTATTACTTGCTACATTCTTGCTTGAGGATGCTGCCAAGCCGTGGTGGGAGAGTGTGAGACCGGTGGATGGGTCTCTATTAACATGGAGTAAGTTCAAGAGGAGATTCTTTTCCTACTATTTTTCCTACCTCTTTCAAAGTTGAGAAAGAGGATGAGTTCCACCGGTTACAGTAAGGGAACATGAATGATGAAGAATTCATAGCTAAGTTCAACGAGTTGTCTAAATACTCGATTTATTTGAGGAATCATAATGATGAGTACTGGAACGCTAAACAGTTACTTGAGAAGATGTGGCCTGATTATAGACAGCAGTTAGCACCTCTTGATATCGTCTCATACAGCGATATATGCAATAAGTTGAGAGTAGTGGCCAGATGAGGTCGTGAGGCTAAAGATAGCTAGAGGAGAGATGGTAAGGGCCATTTCTCTACATATACAGGTCATACTAGAGGTGTTTGCAAGAAAGTTAGATATAGCTCTGGACTATCTGGATTGGGCAGCAATGATAGTAAGAAGAGAAGTTTCCAGAGGGGTTCACATTCTAGAGGTTCTTAAATGTGGAGTAATACCCTCAAGAGTATGGGTGGGCAGAGTCAAGCTTTAAGACAAGATTCTACTCTTATAATAGCTGAACCGATTAGAGACCCACAGTGTAGCAGGTGTGGAGGACACCATATTAGGGAGTGCTGGACTTGTTTCAAGTGCCACAAGGTTAGGCACATCACGTGATATTACCCTAAGAACACTCCTCACACTGATCAGAGGTCTGCTATTCTTAGTTGTGTGTTTGCTTTGACAAAGGAAGAGGCTAAAGCTTCCCCAAAGCTTACCCAAGGTATGATTTCTTTAAGCAATCAACAAATTTCTGCTTTGTTTGATTCTGGTGCTACTCACTCATTTATCTCTAATGAGTATGCACAAAGACTAAAATTGCATGTGATTGAAATGCCTTTCATGATGAATGTATCTACGTCAGCTGGTGCTTTAGTGAGAACCAGTCAAGCTTGTTTGAAAGTAGAGTTGACATTTGGTGAAATAGTCACAATTATTGATTTGATTTGTTTGCCTATATCGGGAATTGATGTGATAATTAGCATGGATTGGTTGTCTGCTAATGGAGCAATATTAGATTGTAATAGAAAGATAGTTTCGTTAATATTATACATGACAATTACAATGAATGATGAGACTACATAGTCTGTACCTGTTACTACCCCAGAGACTCCCAAGTTTCTATCGGCAGTGCAAGTAGAGAAGTCAGTAAAGGAAGGATGTCAAGTTTTCATGGTGTTTTGCTCAATACACGGAGTATATGATGGAGCAATAGACAAGATTGGAGTTGTCAATGAGTTTCCTGAGGTGTTTGTAGATAGAGTGTTTGGATTGCCACCAGAGAGAGATTCAGTTCTCAATTGACTTGGTACCTGATACCAAGCTAATCTTTAAGGCTCCGTATCGGATGGCTCTAATAGAATTGAATGAGCTTAAGAAGCAACTAGATGAGTTATTGGAGATGGGATTGATTAGACCTAGTGTTTTACCTTAGGGTTTACCTGTTCTGTTTGTCTAAAAGAAAGATGGTAGCTTGAGATTGTGCATAAACTACCAACAGCTAAATAAGGTGATAATTAAGAATAAGTATCCATTACCTCGAATTGATGACTTATTAGATCAGTTAGCTAGGATTCTCCAAGATTAATTTGAGATTTGAATATCACAAATTGAGAATGAAAATGGATGATGTGCCGAAGACTGCTTTTAGAACGAGATACGGGCATTATGAGTTTTTTGTTATGCCCTTCAGGTTGATGAATGCACCCACAATCTTCATGTATTATATGAATTGAATCTTTAGGCCATACTTAGACAAGTTTGTAATGGTCTTCATTGATGATATTTTAATATACTTGGTTGATAAGGAAGAACATGCTAAGCATTTGCAGATCGTGTTGCAAATTCTAGAAGAGAAGAAGCTTTATGCAAAATTGAGCAAATATGAGTTCTGGTTACATGCAGTGAAGTTTTTAGGCCATATAGTGTTGGCTAGTGGCATTACAGTTGATCTTCATAAGGTGGATGTGGTGCTATAATGGGAAAGACTGACTTCTGTGATCAAGATCCGAAGTTTCTTGGGTCTAGGAGGATATTATAAGAGGATTATTCAAGGATTTTCCCAGATTACATCTACTTTGACCAAGTTGACTAAGAAAGATCATCCTTTCACATAGACTGATAAATATGAAGAGGCTTTCTAAGAGCTGAAGTAGAGGTTGACGACAATACCTATGTTAACTATTCTAGATCCAAAATTGCCATTTGTGGTTTATACGAATGCGTCACTTAAGGGTCTTGGATGCATTTTAATGCAAGATGAAAGAATTGTGGCATATGCTTCGAGACAGTTAAGACTGCATGAGGAGAATTATCATTCCCATGATCTTGAGCTTGCAGTAGTTG